ATTGTAGAAAGAAGAGAACTTAAATAGAAGGAAGGAAATAAAGAAAAGCATAAATAAGATAGAAGACAGTAGAGAAAAATCAATTATACCAAATGCTGATTCTTTGAAAATATCAATAAGGTTGGTAAACCTCAAATTAGACTGAAAAACCCTACACGTTTCTGATTTCACAAATGAGGAGGGACATCACTACAGCTCCTGTACACATCAGAAAGGGTAAGATGGACATAGGATGACAATATATTCTAAAAACTGGGTGAAGTGGACATATGCCTTAAGAGACAAATTACTGAAATTGACACAAGAAAAAGAAAACCTGTAACATCATACTTAACGGGAAAGACTGGCTTTGCCTTCTAAACTGAGAAGAAAGCAAGAATGTTCTAACCAATTCACTCACTGTACTAGATGGAGGTCCTAATTAGTGCAATAAGTCAGAAAAATAAAGGAATATAGATTGGAAAATAAGTAGCTCAATATATAATTTGTTCATAAGTAGGCTATCATAGGAAATCTCTAAAGAAGCTACTAGAACTAGTAAGTGAATTTAGCAAAGTCAGTATGATTTAAGAAGTGTGGAACAGGGTCTCTGTTTCCTTTCCCCTTATTTTCTGACTCTGGAGGCCCTTTGACCTCTGTACCTTTAAGAAGAGCCACTTTTTAAGTTAAGTTGTGACCCTGAAAAAGCTCTGTGGTTGAAAAAGTGCTAAGTCTCTGAAAATAGGCCCTACAGGCAACCAACCCATCTGATCTACCTGACCAAGTCCTATACATGGTTCTCCAGCCACCCACATTGGCCACTGTACCCCAGTTACTAGAACTAGAGAGAGTAGCTACACGGAGGATCCGACTGGTGAGCACAGTGATAACAGATAAGCTCAGTTAACCCAACTGTGGGAAAAATCACTTACCAAGGCCATCTGTGACTGCACCATGTGCGCGTGTCTGCTGTTCCTTCCCACTGCATGTTCCAATCAGTACCTATTGCTCACTCTCCCTTCCAGAACATTATATATATATATATATTTTTAAGATTTATTTATTTGTGCATACAGAACTGGGGTATAGGCCAGTGGCTCAGAGGCGGCGAGAGGCTTCACCAGAGACAGAGTGGGGAGCAGAACAGGCAGATCGACGAAGTACACTGCTGAGGGGAGCAGCGGGCGGGTCAGG